GAAAACTTTAATATAAGTTTAATATAACAGCAAATGTACAACGTTTCGAAAAAGTTGATGATAACAAAACCTTGTCGAAATGTATTACATTTGCTGTTATATTAAACTTATATTAAAGTTTTCTTCATTACCCATTCAAGCCGTCTCCAACCATTATTTGTCTTGGTTGTGTTTTAGTCGACTGGTATTTCAATTATTATACATTATATATACAGGTTATTGCTATTTTGAAATAAGTTCTTAGTTATTTTTCCTAAAACACAGAACAGTAAATAAAGAAATAAAGCAAACAATTATCTCTTCTAGTTACGAAATTTGGGGTCGGTGGCTGCTTGACATAGGTTGCTAAGCCTTTAAAAATTTTCCACGTGGAGGATATGAAACAAAATATTTTTTTAGGTTTATATATACTTTTGAATAACTAAAAAATCATAAATTACTACATCAATACCATAGAATTCTACTATAATTAATCAAGTTTAGTAACTAAGCTGTATTTGGGTCCAAAAAAACATGAAATTTCAAGCAGACTAAAGACACAACCTACCTCCTTGAAATCTTGATTCAAAAGAAAGAAATGGCAGAAGGAACATTAGTTTATGTCAATAAGTTTGGTACCAAACTGTAGATTATAATTCAAATTTTAGAACTATACATTACTCAATTTCTTAATTGAAAAGTAAATATTAAAAAAACTAAGATACACATCGATTTTTGTGTGTCACATGGTATTATGAATGCAGCACTGGTTCGAATTAGCTGTTTCTGGAGTCAAAATACTAAGTCTATAGTTTCATATGAATTAGAAACTCAAATTACAGATACTGATAAGCTAGAATATAAAATAAGAAGTCCTTATCTTTTCTTTTTGCTAAGATATTGCTCACACAATGAATCAAACACAGTGGCACCCCGCTCACCTATTTCCATTTTTGGAAACACTCCCTTATATACACTTACTTCTATATCTGACATGAATAACCAATTGGAAGCTCAGAATATTCCCTAGTAGTTTTCTCAGCCCTTGGATTGAGCATGCAATTTGACCCTTTTGATACAGGTCACAGGTGAAAGGCTATGTCATCTCGTTTGTTGACTTGCATTCAAAACTTTATTGAACTACTATTTCATAAAAGCCTTAGTGAGCCAGTTTAAAATGGTAATGTTCAAATTCTATATTTTATATCTGTTTTAAAGTGTTATTGATTTGTACATTTATACTTTTAGAATGTTCTGATTAATATCATTTTGTTTTGTTTTTAGACACTTTGAATAGCTGAACAATATAAATCACCATGCTAAATGTATGCACATAAACCTTTTGCTCTAACTACAAAATATTAAGTTCTTTAATGCTAGTACACTTTAAATGAAAATTTAAAGTAGCTTTGATGTTTTCATACTTTTTCAATACCAAAATCTAGAATCAAGTTCCTGCTGAATTGTACTTGCATATGAACATATAACACATTGAATATTTAACATAAATTTATGTGGTTTAGATTACATTGGTTTCCAAACTGTTTTGTTACTGTTTGATGTGTCAAAAGAGGTATTGGGGAAGGTTTAAAGGACAAAACATAGTAAAACACAAACATATTTCAATCAGAAAATGATTTATATAATAATGATCCTAAAATTTTTTGAACAAACAAAGTAGAAATACAATATGAGAGCAGTACTAGATTTTATTGAATTGTATTAAAATACTTGCTTTAAATTAAGCATTAGCTCCAAATCTTTGTCTGGCTACTCAGATGACTCATGAGTTGGGAACCCGTGCTTTAGAATATCGTACTAGAATCAGAAATGTTTATCTTCTGTAAAGATTTGATACATTACTATATAAAACTATAGAAATAATCTAAACTCCCACTTGTAGGAAGCCCTTCAGGACATGTGATGGTGACCGCCTGTGTGTTATTTCAGATTATCAAAGCTCTGACAGAAAGACAAGGGTATGAAGATTTCAAAAGTTAATAATATCAATGATTCTGTGTTACACTGAACTGCAATGGTAAATTGAAAGGATGATGTGCTATTAATTTATAATACTTTATCTGTAAAACAAAACTGTTTTTACACTGCAAAGAACAAGTTATTCCGTTATTATGAGTTTATATGTATTTATAATTTGGTAACAAAAATTTGTGTCAAAGAGTTGCTAAGTGATAGCAAAAGAATAAAAGTACTGCTTCATAAAAATGTTTATGTAAAACAATGAATTTGACATCTTTTCAAAAAATTTACATACTTAAAGTGACCAATATATTGCTTAAAAATACATATATAGATGGAATAATGTTTTATCTATGTACAGGGAAACATTCTTCTGTTTTGAATTAAGCGTAAATTACTGTTTATGGTGTTCTGCTATATTCTTTAATTTCTCTCATTTTGGAATGAAATAGAACTGTAGTGTAATAGTTTTTAAACTAAATGTACAATCGATCCTCATCAGTTTAAATTAGTATATGACACATAAGTACATGTAGAAATGAGTACCACGAAGTATGTTCTTGATTAATATAATTTAATCCTGTCATATATTATTTATTTTTCTAATTAATTTCCTTGTCAAAATGTTATACTTTTACAAACTCAAATAAATTAACTTTGCCAAACACTTAAATTTATATTTCCTTGAGTATGAGGGCAGTTTTTTGCATTCTTTCAGTCATGCCGGTAGTTTATTTGTTTTGCCTTTAAAATTATATTTGCTGTACCAGTTCAATCTATTCAGGGTGTTAACATGTTAACGTTTCATTGAAGAGTAACTCTGAATTTAACTGAAGTTTTAATTCATACTGTAATCCTTTCCATACACACTCTTCTGAGTATTCAATATGATACTAATAACATTTCAGAATCCTTGTAAAAGTGGGAGGTTGGAGTATGTATGCTGTAGTTGTAGTGTTTGTTGGAACTGCTCGAGTATTTATTGCTGCTCACTTTCCACATCAGTGCTTACTTGGCTTTATAGTTGGTAAGTAACCATACACACTCTTCTGAGTATTCAATATGATAATAATAACATTTCAGAATCCTTGTAAAAGTGGGAGGTTGGAGTATGTATGCTGTAGTTGTAGTGCTTGTTGGAACTGCTCGAGTGTTTATTGCTGCTCACTTTCCACATCAGTGCTTACTTGGCTTTATAGTTGGTAAGTAACCACGTATTTTTCTTTGACCTATCTTAAAATAATTGTTTTTACAATTTCATGTAATAAAATGTAAGCAAAAACACCTTAAATGTGAAAAAAGGAGTAATCAAAAAACAGATAAGTCAAGATTCAGCCTATAATGTGACTTA